TTATGCTCTAATAAATTTGTTAGTCTCTAAGGTGCCACAAGTACTCCTGTTCTTTTTGCGGATACAGACTAACACGGCTGCTACTCTGAAACTACTCAATCATAGAGGACATTATTTTTATTAATCAAACTAAAGAAATTAAAACTTAACTAAACTTAATTTTTTTTAAAATTAACAACTGAACTTTACTTAAATTAAAATGCAAAGCCACTTTTTTTTTTTGAGACATTAGGGTGTGCCTGGACACACCCGGTACACCCCGTACGCACTCCTGTGACATGAACTAAATGTGCCCAATCATTTGGAAGAAAAAGTAGGCCATCTCCACCCCCTTCCACTTATCAGGATAAATTATCTTTTTAGATAAATATAAAAACACACCTCTTCCCTCCACACCTTTTCCAAAACAAAGGAAACAGCTTTGATCAATGTGGTTAACCAATGGATGCCTGGTTAACCATACTCCCCTTGATAGAGATATTTAAATAATAATATAATTAAGGGAGATATCCCATCTCCTAGAACTGGAAGGGACCTTGAAAGATCATCAAGTCCAGTCCCCTGCCTTCACTAGCAAGACCAAGTACTGATTTTGCCCCAGATCCCCAAATGGCCCCCCCTCAAGGATTGAGCTCACAACCCTGGGTTTACCAAGGCAATGCTCAAATCACTGAGCTATCCCTCCCCCCAAAATCTGAAATGAAAGTTTTAGATACATCCCTGAAACTAAGCCTGTACCTCTCCATACACTGCTAAGGAGCACTGAAGTGACAACTCTTTGCACTAGGGCAGAAGTTCTCAAACTGTGGTCCGAGCTCCATTCAGGTGGTCCGCGGATAGTTCCCTCTAAGATGCGCGCGTGGGCGGCTGCAGACGAGAAAATGAAGGGCCACCCACCTAATTAGCGGAGCCGCGCAAGCGTGGCTCCACTAATTAGGTGCCTGGACCCTGGAGGAGACACACATGTAAGGTGAGGTGATGGCCTTGGGAGGAATAGGAGGTAGGTGGGAGGGGGCAGTGGGGTGAAAAGACGGGGTGGGGGGAATTTGGGACATACAGGGCTGCGGTGGCCAGAGAAAGAGGCAACTTTCTCAGCCCCAGCTCCAGGGCTGCAGCTGCCAGGGAGAGACGGTCCTTCTTCCCAGCCCCAGCTCAGGGGCTGCTGTGGCAGGGGAGAGAGGGAGAGACCCCCCCTCCTTCCCAGCCCTAGCTCAGGGGCTGCTGCGGCGGGGGAGAGAGGGCACATCCATCACATTAGAAAGGTAAGACTACTGATATTAAAATGTGAGTTGTGTGCTTTTATTTGTAGAACAAAAAAATGTTAATTATTAAGGTTTTTTTATATAGCGCTTTTATCCAAAGCGCTTTACAATATAGTTAGCTAATGGTACAAACAACATTTGGAAAGATTATTAAGTGGTCCGCCGAGACCCTCAGCAACTTTCAAGTGGTCCACGGAGAAAAAAAATTTGAGAACCACTGCACTAGGGCATTCTGTTTCAGGGAAGCTTTGATGAGTAGCAGTGACAAGATGGTTCATGTTCTGACCTTAGAGCTGATTTTCCTTACACCACTGAAAAGAAACAACAAACAGAATCATCTCCTGAAGATGCAACCACAATTTCCTACAGCCATAAACATCCTTCCCTGGAAGCCTTTCCCTCTTTTAACTTACTCTAAACTCACAGATGATAGGTTTAGAAGCCCATCTAAATTCTGCTCTTATACCACACTGCAGTCAATGGGATTGTGCAGGTGTACTATAGTGCAGAATCTGGCTCATTTTGCATTCAGTGATAGTTTCTTAAATATAAATAAATAAGATCTCTCTCTTTTTAAAGGTCAGAAATTCTCCTGAATTTGGAGAAGCCTTGGAGTCCATTTTATTATTTTGCTTGCCTTCCCATGGCTCAACCTAAAGCTTTGGTGGAATCCTTGGCAGGTACATACTTTCCGGAAAAGGTCCCTCCAAAGCATGAGTTCAGCATCTTCTGTCTATAACGTCCCCCGCTAGTTCCTTTTGATAAAGCACTTCAAAAGTACATGGATGGCTATGCATATTAAATAGAACTATAGTATTTATGTTCACAACAAAACAAAAATACTTCCGTCCAAAACCTGTAAGGTTTTAAAACACTATCAATGACTGGTCTATTGAAGTTCCTGTGTTCCATGCATTTGTTGGTGATCACAAGCCCCTCCTTTCAAAAGTTAATGATAAACAGCCTATTTGGAACAGTTCTGACCCAGGTGATCTTCCCAAACCCTAGCATCCAAGATTGTATTGGAGAGCTCATAATACCAGCATAATGCTGATACCGTTGCCTAGAGATTTTTCTTTGACAAAACACCAAACAATGGCTGACTGATGGGAAATAAGTGCTCATCATTCCATGTATAGGACTGCCATTAAAATCCCTGGGTGTTTTCACAAAAATAGAGCAGAGTGTACTCCTCTTTTCTTTTCAGAATCCATTTAAAGATTTTCCTGACTATTTCTGGTAATCCTGTTGCCATGATAACACAACTGCCATCACCCACTCTATCTAGTGTCCAATGCCCCAGATCTTCTCCTATTCCATTGCCCTTTTCTTCCAAAAGACAAAATAACTTGTTTACGAAAGCAAGATATTTGTGCAGGTTTTTCCTGGGAGATGACCAGGAGGCATAGGAGATGAATGAGGGATACCCAATAGAGGAGAGATGGGTGAAGTACTCCTCCTCCATTGCTAAGTATCCCAACCAAACTACCAGCTGCCAAACCAGCTGATACCTTTTCCCCCATCTGCCATGCCTACACAGACCTGACATAGAAAAATAACCTCACATTTCCCTAGATACCCTAACCAGCATCTCAGAGAAAGTTATGGCACTTTGCTGCCTACACCAGTAGCTGGACATACCACAAGGCCGTGTGTGGGAGGGAGGGGTACTCCATTTGTGAAAAATATCATAAGCAGTAGAGTTGATCCATGTTGTCAGAATATAGTTTTCTTTCAAGGAGCAAAACAAAGAGTGATATCAACAGAAATCTTTAGAAGACATGAGGCTGGCATGCCCACAAGTTTACAACACAATGTTTTTTGAAGGGATCTCTCTGCATATGGGGTCTGCTTCATTATTTTATAATTCTGATCTTATTTGAAACCATCATCCATGGTCCAAGCATGAAAAACTAACTACAAGTCTATTAAGTGTGAGAAAACTGATGAAACAAATGGGAGAGACTGGAAAACTAAAGTCTTTTCCATCCCTAACATCCATGGAAGGGAAAGATGGTGATTCTTCTCTCAGACACATGTATATTTCTCCATACTACCCCCCAGGCAGGTGAATCCCTTCCTTTCATAAGATCAATGGAGCTTATTGGAAGTCTTTGAACTCTGTACACAAACTAGAGAACGTGCTCAATTTCCCTGGCTCCAAACATCTCTCTCTGTTGCCTCACTATTCATTTTTCAACGGGCTAAATCTTGGGTAAATTTCACTTATCTCCAAGCAGAACCAACAAAGTAAAAATTGAATTAAAAAAAAATCCCAGTGGAAGAAATCAAAATACGTCGCTGTGAACTGAACATCTTTCTACCAATCACACGGCTGCTTTTTAGTTTTAACCTCTCCGTTAAACAGGAAATACAAAGGAGGGGGTCATATATTGGTGAAGCCAGTGGGGATAGATCTGGAACGATGGTTCTTTTTGCCTTCGCCCTTACTGACTCCGGGACTGTAACATGATGCAATTCCCCCCTCCCCCCCCGTGCTGAAACGGGTTGAAATGACAAAATCGGGGTGGATTGTCCCCAAAGGTGGGGGGAAACAATGAAGCCCTCTACGGTACAAAGCAGCAGCCTCTCGGAGTTGGGGCAGCCCGTCAGACGGGCTGGTGTCTTGCTCTGGAGATTGGAGTCACAAGGATCACAACCAGATGGCATAATCTGTGAAGAGCTCAACCCAGATTTTCGCTCTTTCAACCCCTACGCAAGGGTTGCATCATGTAACAGCGCAACGGAGGTCGGGGGGGGGGGGGAACCCAACCACCAGAGATCTTGCAAGGGGGAAAACAGTAACTGGCTGAACTGCTGCCGCCTGATGCTCTGGCTCCATCACCGCTTTTTCCATGTGCTTCTCCCAGCCAAAACAGAGAGGGGCTTTTTTTGTCTCTGTGCTAGGTGCTTTCCAAAGAACTTCCAGCCCCCGGCTGTTTGCAAGGGCTGCCTGGGGGGATCAGAGCCTGGCTAGAGAAAGCCCCTTTCCCATTTCAGAGCCCCCTCGGCCGAGCCCAGCGGGCCGTTTCTGCCTTGGCATTGGGGCGGGCTGGGGGAGGTTTGCAAACAGGGAGCCGGGAAAGGGGCAGCGGAGCGAGAGTTCAAGCAGCAGAGAGACATTTCCTACCTCGAGCCTTGTCCTGCAGCAATTCTCCGCACAAAGCCGGGCGCCTGCCCACCCCGAGACCCGGCGCAACAATGGGGCGAGGGCGGGCAGGGAGCAGCGGCTCCACTCTAGGACGGGGGAAAGGAGGAGGCAGCCGCCGCGAGCTAGCCCCGCACGCCCGGGGAGTATCATTCACACATGCCAGAGCCGGCCCAGACTGGCGGCTCCGCTGCCCAATCAGCCGGCAGCGCTGGGAGGAGGCGGAGCCAGGCAGAACAAAGGAGGGAGGGGGAGTGCCCCAGCCCCCGGCCCCAGGGCAGGTAGCACGGAGCGGAGCTGCTCTCTCTAGCCTGCGCCCCGAAAGGATACAGCGGCGTGGGGTGCTACAGCATCCTCTGGGTAAATGCTCCCTGCGGGCAGGGAAGGAGGTACCCCAGGGAAGAGGGTCTCGAGCACCATCCAGAGGACTAGGGGGTTGCAAGGGAGCCAGCACCGTCCAAGGGACTAAGGGGTTGCAAAAGGGGCAGGAAGGGGGCCAGCACCATTCAGGGGACTAGGGGGTTGCAGAAGGGATGAGGGCTAGGGAGGTGCCAGTTCTTGGAGCCCAGGAAGGGTCATTTGGGCTCGAAGGCTGGGGCCAAGCAGAGATTGGTGGTGTGGGGTGTTTCTTCGAGACAACCAGGGGGACATAGAAGGGGGTGCTGCTAGATGCTATGGGTTCTACCTAGGGACAAGCAAGTGCTGAGGGGGGATGGATGGTGAAGGGAGGGAGATAGTCTCCTGGTGGGGAAACAGGGGAGGTTGAGGTTAGAGTTGCAAGCCTGCTCCTTGGGGGGACTGAAGGGATACAGGGCCCTGACTCTTATTAAAGGACACTTCTATTTGCATGTTATCCTGAGTCCTATATCAACTCAATACAGGATGCTCATTACCCCATATTACAGCGTTAATTTCATGCAGCAATACAAATGTCTGGCTGCTTACCATGAATAAAACGTGGTAGGTGGCATCCCTTCCACATGAACTTTGTACTGTAATCATTGTCCTGCACAGGCAGTTGACCTCTATTTTACCAGTTATCTCGGGGCCAGAGTAAGCCCCACAATCCATCTCTTAGCCCTGCGCTGTCAGCAGACAGACTCATGGTGCCTGCAAATGCTACAGGCATAAAGCCTGCTGCACATAAGGAGGGAGGATGCCAAAACAGAAAAGTCCTGCTGCCCAAGTCAACTGGAACCCACCTCCTCCAGACTTCCATCCTTCTGCTCTAGTCCAACAGCATTTTCCCTATTCCTACCAAGGGATATGCTCAACAGAGATAAAGCAATCCAGAAGTCTGAGCCTGGCTATATTGAAAGTTGTACCTGTTTCACCAAACCTTTGATTTTAAAACCAGTTTGTTAAAACGGTGCACAATCTTGTGCGGACACTTTTAAATCAGTTTATACCTAGCTTATATTGATTTAGCTTAGTTTGGTACAGGTTAGACAAACACCTATCAGGGATGGTCTAGGTATACTTGGTCCTGCCTCACTGCAGGGGGCTGGACTAGATGACTTCTCGAGGTCCCTTTATCACGGAGTGGGGGGGAGTCAGGGCCCTGCACTCCCCACTTCCTGCAATTCACCGTGAGACTCAGCCAGCCAGTAAAACAGAAGGTTTATTGGACGACAGGAACACAGTCAATAACAGAGCTTATAGGTACAACCAAGACCCCTCAGTCAAGTCCTTCTGGGGGGCAGGGAGCTTAGACCCCAGTCCTGGGGTTCCCTCCATTTCCCCAGCCACCTCCAGTCATCTCACCCAGCCTCCCCCTGGCTCCTCCTCCAGCCTTTGTCCAGTTTCCCAGGCAGAAGGTGTCACCTGGCCCCAACTCCCCCTCCTGGCTCTCATGTTACATATTCAGGTATCTTCCCTCAAGGAATGTCTCCCATCCCACACACAGTCCCAGTAAAACTCCCCTGCAACATTCCCAGGTCAATACTCCCCACTCCCTGCTGCGTCACTCCCTTCCAACCCTACATTTCTATAATTCAAACCAGATTTAAATAAGATTAATGATGCAAGTTAAGATGAGTCAATATAATTTAAACCAGGTTTAAATCAAATGAAAACTGTCCATAGAGAGTTTTGGACTGATCGTTTTTAAACGTATTTGAAGTTAAAATGGTGCAAATTGGAATATAGACAATATAGATAGGCACTGATTACTAGTTCAGTTTGAATGTTCCTATTGTTTTAAAAAGAACATTAATTTGCATGTACACCTAAACTTTACACACCTTTGCCCAGGAACTACTTAAATTATAAGTTCTTTGGGGCAGGGCTTGTGTTTGTACAGCACCTAACACAATAGGGACCCGGTTCCTGTCTGGAGCTGCTAGGTGCTACTTAATACAAATCAATAATAGGGAAGGACAGAGGTGCTCATTCTCCCTTTCTTGCCCATGCCAAGATGGGAGGTAAGACAACAAGATCTACAGCATCCTGGGGGCAAACAGTGCTGATGACCTCCAACCTCTTCCTGGAGATAAGCATGTGGGTGTGTGTCAGGGTTCCTTCCCCAATCTGAACTCTGGGGTACAGATGTGGGGACCCGCATGAAAGACCCCCTAAGCTTATTTTTTACCAGCTTAGGTTAAAAACTTTCCCAAGGCACAAATCCCACCTTGTCCTTGAACAGTATGCTGCCACCACCAAGTGATTTAGACAAAGAATCAGGGACGGGACCACTTGGAGTTCTATTCCCCCAAAATATTCCCCCAAGCCCTACACCCCCTTTCCTGGGGAAGGCTTGAGAATAATATCCTCACCAATTGGTACAGGTGAACACAGACACAAACCCTTGGATCTTAAGAACAATGAAAAATCAATCAGGTTCTTAAAAGAAGAATTTATTTAAAAAAAGATAAAAGAATCACCTCTGTAAAATCAGGATGGAAGATAACTTTACAGGGTAACAACAAGATTCAAAACACAGAGGATTTCCCCTCCAGGCAAAACTTTAAAGTTACAAAAACAGGGATAAACCTCCCTCTTAGCACAGGAAAAATTCACAAGCTAAAACAAAAGATACTCTAACGCATTTCCTTGCTATTACTTACTATTTCTGTAATATTAGATGTATCATTTTGGTGGGAGCTGGATTACTTGCGTGGTCTCTCCCTTTGTCTCCAGGGAGAACACACACAGAGCACCAAACAAAACCTCTCCCCCCCAGATTTGAAAGTATCTTCTTTCCCCATTGGTCCTTCTGGTCAGGTGCCAACCAGGTTATCTGAGCTTCTTAACCCTTTACAGGTAAGGAAGGATTTTATGATACCCTTAGCTGTATATTTATGACACTGTAGAAGTGGGAGACATTCTTTGTGAAGACAAACTTAGCTACAAATTACTCCTAGGGACGTGCCTTGCTTAAAGTTTGGAGACTCCAATGGTCTTTTTGTTGTTGTTCCAGTTTTTGGTTCACACATATATGGTTTTAAAATATATTGCCAGAAAAAAATAGTTTGCTGGTTGCAAACTTTTAAGCATTGCTTTTTTATGGCTGAGTGGCATTATGCATAACTTACGTGGCTCAGTTTTGTAGTCAATATTTGTGGATGTTAACTCTTCACCTTTAATTTTTATTTGATTACTACAAAAGTGGAGCATATGTCACCCTTAGATGAGTTACATTGATTTCTGAATCCCGTTTGTAGCCATTTTTATTTATCTTTTGGTAAATTCTCTCTTTTCACATTATGAAAACTGATAACATTGCATTGGAGTGTCTTTATAAGGAGCATCTCCACTGAGAGGGATCTCTCTTATTTCTCTTCTGTATCTCATGAAATATAAAATTGTTTGCGAATCCAGGGGCCATCAATTCCTTCAACCAAATTTGTAATCCATGTTAACCCATTGTTGGCAAAAATATTGCTGGGGTGTGCCAATGCCATGTTTGACAGTTTTACATTTTAAAATGTGATTGGAGGTGGGGGCAGTCCAGTGTGGTAGCTACAACATGGAATCACCCAGGCAGGTGGGGCAAGGTGGCTGGCTGTGCTCTCCCCACCACTAGTGAACTGTGAGGCGCCGGAAGGGAAAATAGGGCAGAAGCAGGGACATCTGCATCTTAGGCCTGTGGGTGTGCAGCCAATTCCCATGGACGTTCATAGCTAGGCTTAGTCATGAGGCAAATCTGAGTTGGCATGGCAAGAGGGACATGCTCTGTAACCAGCTGGATACACTCTTTGTACACCTGGGTAAAAATGATTTGGATTTTGTTAGTGGGTGGACTTCATAGAGAGCATAGAGATTTAGGACAGATCATGAACCTTTCCCTGGGGATAACTGTCCGCTGGTTCAAAATGCTGCAGAGAAGGTATTGTGGGGAGCTGCCAGACCTTCTCAGATTGACAAGGCTAAAAGATATGTGAAGCACCTGGATGGGAGGACTGGTAATCACACACACACTCACCCTAATTAACTGATGTGAGAGTAAGGGGTCTAGCAGAGCAGGATATGTTAGAAAATATCAAAGAAAGAACACTCAAGTGGTTGAGAAATGTACACCATAAGGAAGATGGGAGACATACTCAGCAAGCATTGAATTGGGTGCCTAAGGAAGGAAAGAGAAAGTGAGGAAGGCCAAGGAAGAACTGGCAGAAGACCATGACATGATTTTGAAGTCTGGAGTCCTGGGCATAGTCCAGTACTCAAATGGGGTATGAGGTGAAGGGATGCTCCCCAGGTTGAGGAACTTCAGAGAGACCTAAGTAAGCTAGGTGAATGGATAACATAGGCAAATAAAATCAGTGCCAATAAATGCAAAGTAATGGACATAGGTGGGAAAAATTTAAAATTACTTTAACCTTACAGTGTTCTAAATTAACTGTATCAACTTAAGAAAAGACCTAAGCATTATTGTAGACAGCTCAGTGAAGACCTCTGCTCACAGGCAGCTGCTCTCAAAAAAACAAACAAGATGTTAAAAACAACAAGGAGTCTGGCGGCACCTTAAAGACTAACAGATTTATTTGGGCATAAGCTTTCGTGGGTAAAAAACCCATTTCTTCAGATGCATGCATGCAGTCTCCATGCATCTGAAGAAA